AAGGTATGGTGTCTTCTCTTGAAAGAAAAAGAGAAGATAAAACTTTATATAGGAATGTATTTCCATTTCCAGTAAGACTAATAATGTGAAAATTAAAACATATATTTTACCTTATGTGTATTTTCTAGATATTTTAGTTTAAGAGAGAGACTCAGACAACTAAACTGTGGTTATCTTAGTAGACTTTGGCAACTTTTTTCTTTACCCTTGGTTCATAACAGTATAAGAGAATTACACTGGGGTATCAGACCTGAATTCCATTCATGACTCTGTCATTTACTAGCTGTGTGACCTTAAACACGTAACTTTACCTTCTTAGGCCTGGTTTATCTATAAAATAAGGCTGAGTTTAAGATGCTCAGGTCTTTTCCAACTCCTTAATTTGTAATTTTGCTGGCATTTAGCTCTGAAGTCAAACTTAACTGTTTAAAAATTGCCTAAGACTACACTTTCATATCCGTTTGCATAGGGTCAGTATCAGTTATCTATTGATGCATAACAAACCATTCCAGTATTTGGTGGCTTAATACATCAGCCATTTATTTGGCCATGATCCTGAGGATTGTCACTTTGGGCTGAACTCAGCTGGTCTCACCTGGGGTCACCGATGTACAGTTATCTGGGAGATTGACTGGATTGAATGGCCTGCCTCCTGTGTTTCATGGCTGGTGCTGGCTATTATCTGGGTCTTCCTTTCCACAAGATATTGGTGTTTTAAGAGGCTGAACCCTACTGCACAGGTGTTTATTAAGATTCTGTTTGCATCACATTTGCTGATGTCCCATTTGGCAAAAGCAAATGACATGGTCAAACCCAGAGTCTGTGGTAGAGGGGACCACACAGTGGCATAGACCAAGGAAGTATGATTTATTGGAGACCATTGATATACTGGACTTCTACCAGAGAACAAAATGTATCTACCTAAACTCTATTCCTAAGTTATCAGAGTTTTGCTGTTGACTGAACTGCTGTTGTTGACTATCTGCCAGAATTTGTCTTCTGGTCCTTTTTCATCCTGTATAGGCAGTCACAGTTGTCACTGCTTTTATCTGCTCTTTCAGCCATTTCTACTAATGTCCACATAGAACAGGACTGTCAAGATTTGCCAGTTGGTGATCTGTATCAGGATGAAATTTCCAAGGATACGTTGTGTCTAAAAATGGGGCCCAAATATAACACAGCTTTTATAGATGGCAAAAAAATTCTGCTTAGAAGTGGTGCTGGAAAGCTGAGAATACTTTTTTTTTTTTTTTTACTTAGAGACCAACAGAGATGGTTTCTGTGCCCACAGTTCGTTCATTTCTTATGGTGTTTCCTCTCCATGTTTTATTTTAAGGAACCAATACAGCATCTGGTGTGTGTATGTGTATGTATATGTATTTATGTTCCGTCTAAGCTCTTGCTGTCTGTGAGTTTGTCAGGACAGTTGGGAAATGAAAGAGTACCTTTAAATTGTTGGGTAGTTTGTTCCTGGGAGGTTTTGTTGCTGTTGTTGTGTTTGTTTTTTTGTTTTTGTTTGTTTGTTTGTTTTTAGTGGTTGATTTCATAGCCACTAAATAATGATTTAACTTTGTTCAAAATAGTAAACACTAAACTATCTTTGGGACCATTAGAGGCACAAAATTTATGCAGCTAATCAGAGAAGGGTTTCCCTCTGAGAAGACAAGAACCATTCAACTCTTTCATGATAGCGAGTACCATGGATGCATGAGATCTGAAATAGGAGGAAGAAGAGGTACTTGGCTTCTGGGAATTTTTGCTTATGAACTAAGAGAGTATTCTCTTTTGGGAAACGCATCTGTGACAGAGAAGATGTATATCCAGTGATATGAGTTGTGAGTCATAAATGGAATAGATTCTTACTCTAGGATTTAGAGGCATGACTGGTGAAGTATACTTTGGTTAGGGGAGTCTGGAAATCACATCAACATTTAAAGCACTGTGCCATTGTGATTAGTTGTTGAATGAGTAAATGAATCAATCAAACCAGTAAACTTCCAAATAAACTATTTTATTTTATTATTTTATTTTTTAAAAGATTTTTATTTATTTATTTGACAGAGAGAGATCACAAGCAGACAGAGAGAGGGGGAGGCAGGCTCCCTGCTGAGCAAAGAGCCCAATGTGGGGCTCAATCCCAGGACCCTGAGATCATCACCTGAGCTGAAGGCAGAGGCTTAACCCACTGAGCCACCCAGGCGCTCCCCAAATAAACTTTTTTAAAAACCCTGTTTTTTAAGTTGGGAGCTTGCTTTGGTGATACTTTTAATATCAACACATATACACACATGTATATTTGCATATATATTCATCAATTATGTATAAATCTAAAAATCCTGAAAATTATAGGATAGGGCTCTTAACCAGGAATATGCCAGTTAGTTTCTGGATGGTGAGTAAACTCTTTTAAAATTATATGCCAGATAACATCTGTGCATTTTTTCTGGGGAGAGAACACAAACGATGCATAGATATCAAGATTCTTAATGGGGGAAATGAGTTGTTCTTGAAATGCAAGAACTTCAGCTATGGGATTTATAAATCTATTTCTGTAGGTACATGTGTGCGTATATATGTATCAAACTGTTATACATTGCCTTAATGTTTATACCTGAAGTGGAATCAGTGGTAAATGGAACTGCTTGAAAGAATTATATTAATCATGATCCATTGTGATATGAGATATTTAATACTTTGTCATATTCTATATTCTAAGCCATTCCTGGTATTGTATTGATTTGTCAGGGATTTGATAAAATCTGTAGGTAAAATGTTTCAAGAGATTTGTGCAATTTGACTCTTAACCTAAATTTCTTCAACAGTATAAAGAATATTTTGTTGTTACAGTTAGTACCTAAATCCTGTACTTGGCTTTTAGTCTGTATTTGGTACTGGAAGAATTTCTGTTTTCCCATCATTTTGTATCTTAAATTTAACCAAACAAAGGCTGAAGTATATTATTTTCATGATGCCGTTTCTTAACAAAATTTGAATGAATTATAATTCCATATATTCACAAGAAGATTTTGGCCTTTACGTTAGATTTCATCCAGTATATATATATACATATTTTTGTAAAGATTTTATTTATTTATTTGACAGAGATCACAAGCAGGCAGAGAGGCAGGCAGAGAGAGAGAGAGGAGGAGGCAGGCTCCCCGCTGAGCAGAGAGCCCGATGTGGGGCTCCATCCCAGGACCCTGAGATCATGACCTGAGCCGAAGGCAGAGGCTTAACCCACTGAGCCATCCAGGCACTCCTCATCCAGTATATTTTAAAGGAAGTTGGAAAGATTTGTGCTTATTGTGAGACCAGTTTATTAATTTTAAAAATTTTACGTGTTTTAAGCTTTATGTGTTACTAGATCTAGTTGATGATTTTTCAGTTCTTCTCTTTTGGGTTGTATATTAATACAGTTGCCCCTCTAAAGAAAATATTTGTAGCTGTGTATTTTAATGTTTTCCTTAAAATTACATGTATATAGATAATGTTTGTAGTTTGAGTTCCGGGTCATGAAAAGAAAGATAAGCTTATCAAAATTTTAATGTGGTTAAATTTTTTTAACAACAATTTTTTATTGAGGTGTAATTCACATGCCATAAAACTCACTCTCTTAACATACAATGCACACATTGTATATATTCACAGATTTGGGGAACCATCACCACTACCTAATTCCAAAATAGAATTTTAAAGGTTTTTCTGGGTTTTCTTGTCCTATCTTTCCTTTCCACTTGATACACAAAAAGTTGGTGTATCTTGACAGAAAATTTTTTACTGTCCTAAAAGTTTTCAAATGTGGAACTAAAAGACCAAGATAGAAGAGAAAGGAAATGAAGTATAATTAGGGCCCTTAAAGCAAAAGTTCTTATTTTATAGAAGAAAGCATACTTTGACTTTGATACACATCTTTTGTTGAAGCTTTTGTGTAGAATCTTGAAATAAATTGTCAGTCATATGCAAAATCTATGTCAGTTTCTTAAAACGAATTGAGGAAGGAAATGCTTTGTACCAACATGGCAAATACTTCATTATAATAAGAACATTTCTGTTTCTTCCTCTCATACAACTTTGTTCATTGTACTGTATCTTTCTCTGAGAGGTGGAAACTCTTTAGGGAACTGCCCTGATTTTGTGTGTGTGTGTGTGTGTGTGTGTGTGTGTATGCATTGAAGCAGCATAAGCAGTGTTGATAGTGTTTTGATAAAAACAGATTTTAAAATTACTGTTTTAATCTTCCATAATTTTCAAGTCAGTTTTCAGTATTGTTAGTGATGTATGATACTGTTTTTCTTTTAATTGAAACTTATGAACTCTTTTTTTTTTTTTTTTTTTAAGATTTTATTTATTTATTTGACAGACGGAGATTACAAGTAGGTAGAGAGGCAGACAGAGAGAGAGAGAGAAGCAGGCTCCCTGCTGAGCAGAGAGCCTGGTGTGGGGCTGGATCCCAGGACCCTGGGGTCATGACCTGTGCTGAAGGCAGAGGCTTTAACCCACTGAGCCACCCAGGTGCCCCTTATGAACTCTTATTAAATGGAGATATGTCTCCCTAAATATATGGTTTATTCATAGTGTTAACTGGTTGGGAGGATTAGTTTGCACTATCATTGTATATTGCTTTTTACAAGGAATGTATTCTGGGTGAGAATGTGAATCTGAATAAGTACTCAGAAATGCAGTTGCATGTAAATATAACTAAGTTTTTGTCTAATCCCCTCATTCACAATGACCCAGAAAAGGGTCTGCCAAGGGAAAGGGGGAAATGAAGCACTTTTTCATTCCTTAGAATATAAAAAACACCTTGACCAAAAATCTGTCAGAGAGTTTTGAGACCCATTAAAACAAAAGTTTAATGAGGAAAAAAAATACTTTATAAAAATGGATTTTTTTTGTATCAATAGGTACAAATTATTTTAAAATATTATCTGTAGAGTATTATACATTATAGTGCTAATGATGATACAAAATATGTTTCCCTTGTATTTTTTTCCCTGTAGGAAAAGTAGCCATCAAAAAAGAAGATTTGTGTAACCACAGTGGCAAAGAAACCTGGTTTTCACTACAGCCTGTTGATTCCAATTCAGAGGTTCAGGTAAATATTAAGGCTTAGCTGATGTGAGAGACTGTCAGCATACAGAAAGTAAGTGGAAAACAAACTATACTAGTTTCTATAGACAGTGCTTGTCATACATTATTTTAAATTCTGGGACCAAATATTATAGACCTTTAGGTAAAATGTAACTGGAAAGAAATGCCTTGGGGCGCCTGGTTGGCTCAGTGGGTTAAGCCTCTGCCTTCGGCTCAGGTCATGATCTCAGGGTCCTGGGATCGAGCCCCGCATCGGGCTCTCTGCTCAGCGGGGAACCTGTTTCCTACTCTCTCTCTGCCTGCCTCTCTGCCTACTTGTGATCTCTGTCTGTCAAATAAATAAATAAATAAATAAATAAAATCTTTAAAAAAAGAAAGAAAGAAAGAAATGCCTTGTCACATGAATTCAAAAACACTGCACATTGTGGGTGGGTGTCTGAGTTTGGGGAGGTTATACTGGGGGGACATTTCCTGTTTTAGTTCTTTTGTTTGAGTCACCGTGACAGATTATTAACTTTTTTTAAGATGGGAATTTTTTTTTTTTTTTTAAGATTTTATTTATTTATTTGACAGGCAGAGATCACAAGTAGGCAGAGAGGCAGGCAGAGAGAGGAAGGGAAGCAGGCTCCCCGCTGTGCAGAGAGCCTAATGCGGGGCTCGATCCCAGGACCCTGGGATCATGACCTGAGCCGAAGGCAGCGGCTTAACCCACTGAGCCACCCAGGCGCCCCAAGATGGGAAAATTTTTTAAGAGAAAAAAATGTGTTTTATTAATTCTGACTTTGAGGAGAGTCCTAGAAGTCTGTGATTTCATCTCTTCTAACCAGGATGCTCTGTTTACTCTTTTAATAAACTAGTCTTGGGAAAATGTTATTCATTCAAACCATGCTTGAGCCCACCTTGCAGAGCCTTTCATTCCCTCTCCCACTCTTCCTGTTCTTCACCCTTCTTTTTATTTGAAAAGATGTCATTCCTCTTTTTAAAGCTCTTCTTTCCTCTTGCCAAAATAAGAGGTCTTACAGATCTATATGTGAATAAAGATGTATGTTTAGCCAAGCAGCTTAACTTTCTGTTTGTTTTTGAAAAGTCTGAGTTGCTCTTAGAAATTGTTATTTCTATCTAAAAGGAGTCCTTTTTTTTTTTCCCTAAGATTTTATTTATTTATTTGACAGACGGAAATCACAAGTGGGCAGAGTCAGGCAGAGAGAGAGAAAGAGTGAGAGAGAGAGAGGGGAGGCAGGCTCCCTGCTGAGCAGAGAGCCCGACTTGGGACTCAATCCCAGGATCCAGGGATCATGACCTGAGCAGAAGGCAGAGGCTTTAACCCACTGAGCCATCCAGGCGCCCCTAAAGGGAATCCTTTTTTTGGTAACTGTTTATTTATAAAATACGGTAAGAATTGTGAAACCTGAGGACGACATACTGCAAGCAGAATTCTTCCTCTCAAAGAAGTTATAATTTGCCACTGTGACTCAAACAGAAGTTTAAGACAAGAAAAAAGTGCTGCATATACACCCACAGATATTTGCAAATAAAGTGCCTGTGTCTCTGTGTCCTCCTAACCTCTCAAGCATTCTCTTCGATTAAATTCTCAAAAACTTAAGTATTTGTATATAAAACCCCTTCTTAAGTACAAAATACAATTGAAACTTTGACTGTTCTGTTCACTCAGCCTCATTTTAATGCTCTTTTCTTCCCATTTGGCAATAACTGAAATTCAGATCACACTTAGCCACTATTGTGTACGACCCAGGTGAGAGGCAGTTTGACAAAATAGAAAAGCTTTTACACAAGAAGTAAAAAAATTTAGGTCCTAATTTTCATATGTGGTTACTTCACTGACCTTGAATTTTAGTTCTATAGAATGGAAATAAAAGTTGCAACGACTCGTATGATAGAATTAAGTGAAATGTCTTTAACAGTGTTGTGAAAGCTATCAGTTGCTACACATATGTAAAATACCTGTCTAATGGCAGTAGCTCAGGTGGTCCTTTCCATTTCCATAATATAACTTTACCCAAAGGCAGATAGGAAAGTTTTTAAAGTATCAGTTTTCCTTTTTAATTATTTTAACAGAAAGCAAGATAAGGGGGTGCCTGGGTGACTCAGTCATTGGGCATCTGCCTTCGGCTCAGGTCATGATTCCAGAGTCCTGGGATCAAGCCCCACATCGGGCTCCCTGTGCAGCAGGAGGCCAGCTTCTCCCTCTCCCACTGTCCCTGCCTGTGTTCCCTCTTTCACTGTGTCTGTTTGTCAAATAAATAAATAAAATCTTTAAAAAAAAAATGTAAAATAAGAAAAGGCTTTGAGAATTTGGTATAAAGTGAATTTGAGGATTATTTTAAGATGTAGTTTATTGAAGTTCCAATAAAAATATAAACATAAACTTGCTAAAAGATTTAAGGCCCCCAACTCTCAAAAAGTAAAATCTCTCTAGAATATTCTGTGTAATTCTTGGAGATGGTATTAGAGATTAGTATTGGATAATAAGCTTTTATTTAGTGATGTATGTAAAGCTCATCTCTGAAACATAAAAATTCTGGAAATAACATTTGATTGTAGAGATAATGTCAGCATTTTTTATTTGTTATAAGTGATTTTCGTGACCGTGAGTTATTAACCTTTACAGGTCTTTTGCTTAAATGATAATTAGTAAGATCGAATTCTTTAAAAATAAATTTTAGGAGGAAGAGTAACTTTAGTGGGTGGGAGGGATACAGAACACCTTTCAGGTTAATATGGTACTACTGGAAATGTTGTTTGGCTCTAAAACTGATCTAGAAATACTACATTAACTTTGTGAGCCTAGAAAAGGTAGAATAAGCAGCCTGACTCATATACATCCTACTTTGTTAATAAATTTGTTCACTTGGATAAAGTTTATAAAATTTTACAAAAATATGGAAAGAATAGCAGTTGGTGGAGCCATAATAGGAAGCTATGGAAACGATTGAGTTCAGTAGGAATTCCACGTAGTAATTACTATTAGTGATTAAACGGTATATATGAAGCACAGTATTATGTACTTAATGTACATTTTTTCATTTAATCTTCAGAAAAGCATTATGAGGTGTAGGTAGCATTACCCCATTTTATAAATACAGAAAATGGATTGAAAGAGGTTAAATGACATCTCCAAAATCAGAACTTTTAGGTGATGGAGCTGTGGTTTCAATAGTGATCAAGTCTGAGTCTAAAATTCCTAACCACAGTGCTTTACTGCTTTTCACTCTTGTAGTTTTGGTCATGAAAAGGCTTCAGCATATTATTAGGAGGGGACACGTTGAGTATAAGGAACAGAAGCCTACTCAAATTAGCTCCAAGAAAAAGGGAGGGGCATTTGAAAGTTCCTGGGGAACTTGTTGGGGAATAATTGCAAGAACTTCAGTATGCTCAGTGAGAGCTGACATTTACTGAGGAGCTGCCTCTGAAGTGGAGGTCAGGTTCTTACAATAATAAACTAGATACAGTTCACAGAGTCTAAATTATTTATAAGATTTTAATTTCTCATAAAGTATCCTGAAATATTGGGTGGTTTGTTTCGTTTCTGCTTGATCACTACATAAAATAGTTGACTTGCATTTGGGACCAAATAAAAAATATATATTGTATTTTTATACTGTGGACTTCCACTCAGTGCAGCCTTAGATACTGCAAGGGGCACTGGGAACTGAGATCCCCGATTGATTTCTTCCCACTTGTTTGCTCACTGTGCTTATTGAGTAGAAGTACTCACTGTTTAAATAGTGTTTTTTCCTTTCTCTCTCATTTTGTAAAATGAATAGTTAATATTTTCTCTCTGTCGTGTCCTTTCATTTTAATATTATTCACTTTGCAAAATGAAAGGGAAAAAACATTAATGATGAGATTCCCTTGTATTTTTGTACATCTGATGAGATTACATCTTTCTCACCTCTGCTTCTCTCTAATCTCTTGTTGACAGCTAAAAAAAAAAATGCCCACATCAGTCTTTGAGTTTACATGACCATACAGCCCCTCACTTTCTGAGGTCTAATTTAGTTTTCTGCCACAATTTAGAGAATTTGACCCAACTAGGGTCAGATGTCTTCTGCATTCTAATTGGTATGATGGGGGCGGAGGGGTAAAGTCACTGTAGTGCAGTCCGTTCTGGGGCTTTGGGAGGCATGATCCCTAGGAAAGGGGTTTAAGTAGAGGAAATGATTGGCATATCTACTTCAGAAGGGAAGAAGATGTTTCATTTCCTAGCTAATTGTCATTTGACTAATTGTCAAAATGACTGATTGTCATTTGTATCCAAAACAGTTGCTAACCTGTTGTTGTCTGAGGCTTTTCATCTTTCAAGTGAGAACCTCAGTGTATCGGATTCCCTTCAGTTCTGAAGTTGTAGGGAAGTAACATGCAGAAACGTAATTTAGCCTTGAATTGAAAAGATCCCAATAGTAGGAAAAAATGGGTTTTATACCAAAACAGTTGAAAGTTACAAAGAACACTAAACCTCTTAACTTGGACTGTTTCCCATATCCTTTATTATTGCTCTTAATAATGTCAGTTATTTTCAGTTTTCTTTTCAGACATTCAAGACATTATTAATATTTCATGAGTGCATTTTCCTACACTTCTTTTTCTGTTCTTTTTTTGTTTTTGTTTTGTAGTTATTCCCTGTAGATTGAAACATTCTCTTCTGAACCCACTCTGATCTGCCTTCATACCCCGCAATGAGCCAGAGGGAGAGCACAAAGGGCTCTCACTAATGTTACCCATGACATTGTGTCAATAAGTCTGGTGTATATTTTTCAGTCCTCCTCTTACATGATCGTTCAGTAGCTTTTCATAATGTTGACCATTCCTTTTTGAAGCAGTCTTTTCCTTAATTTCTGGTTGTGGTTACTGTCCTACTTCACTTGGTGTTCTTTCTACTATTCTTTTTTTTTTTTTAAGATTTTATTTATTTATTTGACAGAGAGATCACAAGTAGGCAGAGAGGCAGGCAGAGAGAGAGAGGAGAGGAAGCAGGCTCCCTGC